TAATAATATCTACATGTCTAAGTTTGATTGAGATAACGGAATTATTCTGCAGTGGCGGCGCGGCTAAGCATCACATGTTAAAGAATAGTCTTTTTGCCCTCCAGCATTGTACGCATGCGCGAAATTTCCTTATGTAAACAATAACATGCAGGGGGTCTAGATTTGTAAATCCGATTATAATTAAGTCGGTGCCTCACCAGCTATGAACCTCACCGCACGTCACTGGTATATACCTAAGAGTGATAAGTTCAAATTGACTAGATGTAAACAAATAAATAACAAGCAATCACATGCAATATATTAATCAATAAATAACCTATAAATGAGTGCAGAATTTTTTTTTTTATCAATTAGCACAGACTTGGACATCCTGATGGCAACAGATAGAAATGACTTTCTGTGTTGCTCTGTGGTGCACTTTGGCAATGTGAGTCTCTGGCTGAAGGGGCTCCAGCCAGCACGTCATGGAGTGGATGAGACTCGTTGTCCAAGATGGCCTGCATCTTGGACATAATCCTTCTTCTTCTTCTGTCAGAGAGTCCAGCTCCACTCCAACAACGTTACTGGCCTTCCGGATCAGTTTGTTCAGTCTGTTGGTGTCCTCCACCTTCAGGCTGCTGCCCCAGCACATCACAGCATACAGGATGGCACTGGCAACCACAGAGTCATAAAACATCCTGAGCAAAGTCCGAGAGATGTTGAAGGACCTCGGCTGCCTCAGAAAATAGAGGTGACTTTGGCCCTTTCTGTAGACAGACTGGGTCAAGAACCAGGGTCAAGAACATCAGTCCAGTTTTTTTTATCAATGTGGACACCCTGATATTTATAATTCTCCACAATGTCCACACTGACCCCCTGGATGGTAACAGGGGTCACCAATGTCCTGATCCTCCTCCTCAGATTCACCACCTGTTCTTTGGTCTTTGTCACATTGAGCTGCAGGTAGGTCAGTCCACACCATGTGACAAAGTTGTCCACAGCAGCCCTGTACTCAACCTCATCACCCTCTATGATACAACCAACCACAGCTGAGTCATCTGAGAACTTTTGGAGAATGCAGGTCTCAGTGCAATGGCTGAAGTCAGATGTATAGAGCGCGAAGAGGAAGGAAGAGAGGACAGTCCCTTGTGGAGCTCCTGTGTTGCTGACCACACTGTCTGACACACAGTGTCGCAGGCGCATGAACTGTGGTCTGCCAGTTAGATAGTCCACAATCCAGGACGTAAGGGGGGATCCACCTGCATCGCCGTCAGTTTCTCACCCAGTAGAGCCGGACGGATGGTGTTGAATGCACTCGAGAAGTCAAAGAACATAATTCTCACAGTGCTTGCCGTCTGGTCCAGGTGAGTGAATGCACTGTTCAGTACTAAGATGATGGCATCCTCAACTCCAAGCTGACAGGCCAACTGCAAGGGGTTCAAGTCTGATTGGACCAGAGTGTGGAGCTGCTCCAGGACGAGTCTCTCCAGGCACTTTATGATGTGGGAGGTCAGCGCCAAAGGCCTGTAGTCTTTCGTACCGGAACAATGCTGGATGTTTTCCACATTACAGGGACCCTCTGTAGGCACAAGCTCATGTTGATTTTTTTTTTAAAGCGCACAATTTTTGTTTATTTGTACAATGTGGATCCACAAATGTTGTCTATATTAAATTCTATTCTTTCTTATATACATTGTGTGCTCTCCTCTGTTGTTCACACCTAAGCTCCCACGAATTTAGAATCTCCTGATCAGGCCCAACTTCCTTTATACTTCTGTAGTGTTGGTATTAGTAAAGTAAATTAACTTAACTTGCCATCTACTTATTATCAAGTGTATTTAAAGTAACCTTTCTTGTGGGTTACAAGTAGTTTAAAGATAATTGATCCCTTCTAACTTTAAGAGGCATTTCTCTCATTTCAACCTGTAATGCTGCTGTTGAAGATGTTTTAAAAGCACCAATACATATTCTTAAAGCCTGATATTGGAAAATATTTAACTTATGGAGGTTTGTATCTGCTGCTGAGTTATAAACTATACATCCATAGTTCGAGACTGACACAATTAACCCAGTATAAATTGCTTGTAATGAATTTCTATCAGCTTCCCGCTCTGTTCCA